GCACATAACAACAACAACAACAACAACAACAACATTCATGCGATGGAATACTACACAGCATGCAGGAGCAATGATTTTGTAAATTACTACCTAACTTGGGAGGAACCAGAGAGCATTATGGTGAGATAACTCAGTCTCATAAGGACAAATACTGTATAAGATCATTATTGTAGAATGTGTATGAGGATCCAAGGTGGGGAGGGGGGAAGCAGAGGGGTGAGGATGGGCAGGGTGTGGTGTGGTGGTGGCTTAATCATAGGGCTGCATAATTTGATGAGTGGAAGGATGGGTGAGTAAAGGATAGGGGAAAGACCCAGTGCAAATGACCTTTGTAAGTAAACCATCGTAAAAGAAAACTTTAAATATATATTAAAAAAGTAACAACTACCTGCCAGAGTGGGTGTGCAAGAAGGAAGAACACTTGCAAACAGCTGTAGAAAATGTTTGGTTTGCTCTGTAACAGACACTCCGAATCCTCTAACGAAAAGGTTGAGTGTTGCTAGGGGATCACAGTTAACTTGATGGCACCGTCCAACAACAGAAAAATGATTCCACTTTTCTTTTTTTTTGATTGTGGCTGTTGTTTTGTACCATCGAATTGGATCCGACCGATACAGGAGGAGATTGCCCCTCCTCCAGCGGAACATCTGGTGGATTTGACCCACATGACTTTGGGGTTGCAATGCAGCTTCTTGCTACTAGGCCACCAGAGTTCCAATGCTTCAACTTTTGAAAGTATGAGAGACCACCAAGTGGCATCGAGATTTCTAATGAAACGTTACAGTATAGTTTGGATTTAGTATCTTGGCCTAGATTTAAACAAAGCTTTGTGCCAGGTCTGCCAAAGCTGCTCTGGCTAGCTTGGTCGCCTGTGAAAGTTTATTTTCTGGGGAGACATTCTTTATATGTATTTATTTAATTTTATACTGCTTTACTTACGAAGTTTGTATACGTTGTTTTTCACACTGGATCTTTCCCATTTCCTTTACCCACCCGTCCCTCCACCCATCAGATTGTGTGACCCTATGATTAAGCCCCCGCTCCCCACCCTCCTGCCCATCCTCACCCCTCTGCTCCTCCTCATTCTACAGTAATGGCCTGAAACAGTATTTACCTTTATGAGACTGAGTTAGCTCACTTAGCATAATGCTCTCCAGTCCCTCCCAGGTTAAGCAGTAATTTACAAAATCATTGCTCCTGCGTGCTGTGTAGTAGTCTATCATATGAATGTACCATAATTTTTCAATCCATTCCATTGTGGTTGGACATTTTGGCTTTTTCCATGTTCTTGAGTTGAACATTGGTGTACAAGTCTCCATTTGTGCCTCAGTTCTAATTTTCTCAGGATATATTACAAGCAGTGGAATAGCTGGGTCATATGGAATTATTATGTTCAGCTTTCTGAGGAAACACCAAACTGCCTTCCAGAGAGGTTGTACCATTTTAAAATCCCACCAACAATGTGTTCTTCTCTCTCCGTATCCTCTCCAACATTTATTACCTGCTGTCCTGCTAAACTTTGCCATTGCCAATGGGGTAAGATGATATCTCATTGTGGCTTTGATTTGCATCTCTCTTATTGGTAGACATTCTTAGCATTGTCTTTAAAATCATATCTACGTTGAAAGCATTTCTATTTTTATGTGGTAAGCAGCTATGCTGCCAACACAAAGGCATGCAGTTCGAATCAGCTGCATGCACCTTGGAGAGAGATGAACAATCACCTCCTGTGTGATTTACAGCCTCTGAAAACCCACTGGATAATATAATTTATCAATTGGTTCTGACTTGGCAGTACATAACAACAACAATTTAAAAGGGAATATTTTCTTATCTGTATTGCGCAATACAGGATGTGAGGGTTTGGCAAATGTTTTGATGATTGATATAAAATTTTACATTGTAAGAAGATTAAGATCTTATGCTGGTGACATCTTATGCAGCTCATCTCCAATTGAAAGCACCATGATAGATGGAGAAGATATTGAAGTTGTTAATAGTTACAGCTTGCTCTGTTCTACAAGCAATACAGTCAGGAAGTAAAAAGATTAATTGCACTGGGAAAATCTGTGGTCAGGGACCTCTCCAGAGGACTGAGAAGCTACAATGTCAGTCTAGAGACTGAAGTGTGCCTGATTCATGTCTTTTCAATTACTTGTATGCATCAGAGAGCTGGACATTGATTAAGTATGAAAGAAGAAGAATTGATGCCTTTGATGTGGTGCTGGAGAAGAGTCTTGAACATACCATCGACGGCCAAGAAAACAATCAAGTCTGTCTTGGAAAGGTGAAACCAGATTTCTTCTTGGAGGCAAGGATTTTGAAGCTCCGTCATACATACCTTGGGCATGTAGCCAGGAGGGACAGGTCTTTGGAGGAGGACATCATGCTTGGAAGGGTGGAGGGACAGTGCAGAAAAGGAAGATCCCAGATGTGATGTATTGAACAGTAACTGGGGCAATGGGAGTATGTGTGTCTGAGTCAGAGAGACAGGCTCAGGATAGGACAGGCTTCAGAGCTATTGTACATAGGGTTTCTATGAGCCTCAGGCAACTTGACTGCACATAACAAAAACAATAACAACTTATGGTCTAGTGTTAAGAAGCTGTGCTGCAATCTCAAAGGCATGTGGTTCTAATTCCCCAGATACTCTGGGGGAGAAGAAAGAACAATTTCCTCTCCAGTGATTACCTGTTTCTGAAAACTTACTTGAGAGCTATTTGTCATTTCTGACTCAAAAGCAAACAATAACACTTACAAATGAAAGTTTTCTCTTGTCTCCCTCCCCTTAAAAAAAAAAAAAGCAGACACTTTCTGACACAAGATCTTCACTTTTCTGGGGTGCTTTCTCTCTTATCAATTCAGGGTTGTTTTTTAAAATTAAGCTCTAGGTCACCTCCACAATGGGATCTTCTCTTTAGTGGGAACAAAAGGACTCACCCTATTACACCCTCTGTTTTATTCTCCTCACAGATGATCAGATTTTTCTTTTCTTCCTCCATTTTTTGTCTGTCTGTTTATTTATATTTGTCAGAATGCAAAGCTCTTTGAGAATAGAGATTTTTATTTATGTTATTCATAGCAGAATCCTCAATGTTTTTGTCATGTACTGTTATGTACTGTGGAATTGGAAGTGACCCATAGCTGACCATCCAGTGGGTTTTCAGGGGCAATAAATTGAATGGGAGGAGACTGCGCTTCCTCAGAGCAACTGGTAGATTCGAACTATGGGCCTTTGGGTTGGCAGTGCAGCTCCTTCCCCCTAGACCACCAGAGCTCTCCAGTGTCTGGAACTGTGCTGTTGAATACAGTTTCTCAATTAAGCTTCTGTTTGTTGTTGTTGTTGTTGTTGTTATTAAGTGCCATTGAGTTGTCTGGTACTCATAGCGACCCTATGTACAAAAGCTCTAAACCCTGCTCTATCCTTTGCCAATCTTATTGTCTCTAACATACCTACCCCCATTTCCCCAGTCACTAAATCAATCCATCTCATTGAGGATCTCCCTCTCCTGTGCTGTCTGTCTCTCCACCCTCCCAAGCATGATGTCCCTCTCCAAGGACTGGTCCCTCCTTGCAACATGTCCAAAGTATGTCAGATGAACCTTCAGAATCCTTGCCTTCAAGCATCAGCCCAGTTTCACCCTCTCCAGGACGAACCTGTTCGTTCTCTTAACGGTCCATGGTCTATTCAATACTCTTCTCCAATACCACAGCTCAAAGGTATCAATTCTCCTTCTATCATCCCTAGTCATTGTCCAGCTCTCTGGTGCATAGCGAGTGATTGCAAAGACCGTGTCCTGTATCAGGCGCACCTTAGTCTCCAGACTGATATCAAAGCTTCTGTGTACAAAGTTAATATTTGTTGATGAAATCGGTGAGAGTACTTATGCCACTTTCTCATATTATCCTTGAGAACTTCCTCTCTCTGAGTGGGCCTCCCGGCATCGTCCTCACTTCCGACTTAGTGCTTGACATTAAGCACCTGCTGTCTCCAAGGCTGTAAATCTTTACAAAAGGAGATGACTCCATCTATTACCAATTTTTTTAAATAAAATTTTTTATTTTAGTTGTGATTTTAATGGAAGTATACAGAAAAGTTAGATTTTCAGTCATTCATATTAGCACTTTTTCTTTCATTGTGGTGAATAGAGATATAATAAATCATGTGCTTTTCCAATATATTTTTTAACTATGTAATTTGTGACGTTAGTTATGCTAGTCATGCTGTTCACCCATTCCCATTACCTGTGTCCAACTTTCCCATCACCTTTAACAGAAGCCTAGAGGTTTCATTTCAAATAATTCCTTTTGACAAAATTCTGCACAACTGTTAAGACCCAGCATCAGGGGCAAAGCCAGTTACCGGAGTCTGTGAAGGTAGATTGAGTGGGAAAAGACCCATAGCTGACTCTCCAGTGGGTTTTCAGAGGCAAGTAATTGCACAGGAGGAGATTTCACATCCTTCTTCTGTGGAGCATCTCGTGGATTTGAACTGTGTGCCTTTGGGATTGCAGGACAGCTTCTTGCCACAATGAGGGTAGGTGTGTCGGAGTCAGTGAGACTGGCTCAAGACAGAGCAGGCTTCAGAGCTCTTGTGCATAGGGTCACTATGAGTCACAGTTGACTTCATGGCACATAACAACAACAAAAACAACAACATGAAGGTAGATGGTACGACTCTGTCCCTGAGTCAACCATGACTTCCAGAGGAGGCTTCCAACGTCCTCCATCACGTCTTCACATTGGACTGGACACATAGCAGGTTTACAAAGAGCTCCTAGATGGTCTGATTCAGAGAAATAACTCATGACCCCTTTACACTCCCCATCTTTGCTTTCTGAATCAGTGAACCTGACAAACTCCAGCAAGGTCAAGTTTCCAACTCTTTTTCCTTTTCCTTGACCTTCTCTCAGCTGCCACATCGCTTCTCCTCTCCAGCCCACCTTGTGTGTCCTCCTCAAGCCCAGAGCTCTAACGTCATTCTCTCTTTGTGTTTCTAGATTGGGGCCTCTCTCTTCGCTAGCAACATCGGCAGTGGCCACTTTGTGGGACTGGCGGGGACGGGAGCAGCTTCAGGCATCGCTATGGGAGGCTTTGAATGGAACGTGAGTAACACCAGAGCCACTGCGCTCTGGAGACGGAAGAACTGCCACCCAGATTGTGAGACCCTTTGGGACCACTCGAGGGTACAGACGGAAGATGTGCACAATTTCAGGAACCCTGGCTTCCTGTTGGGCTAAAATGAGAAAATATCTGATCTAGGTGAACATTAGAGAAAAATGGTATTGGGAGTGAGTTGATGATAACAATTTCTTTGTTCTCTTTCCTTGTTGTTGTTGACTGCTATCAAGTCAAGCACAACTCATAGCAACCCTATGAACAAAAGACTTGAAGTCTTTCTATAACTATCATTGTTTCTCAAAGTTCATAGAGTTTCCAGTGGCATGTTGTTTAGGAAGTGGATGCCACTCCCACTTCCAAACCTGTCTTGAACTGGCAAACATTGTCCACCAGGGGTAACCGTTATGGCATTTGACAATGGCAGGAGGTTCAGCATCACAGCAAACCCAGATTAAAAACCCAGATTGTTCTCTTTCCTACTGGCGTTAAAAAGCCAAGTGTCTCACTGCTCATCCAGCCACATTAGAGGTTTGAAAATATTTCCCTTCATTTATAAGGGACTCTAGTAACGCAAATAGTTAGACTCTCAGCTGATAGCCAGAAAAATCAATTGTTTGAACCCACCAGCAGCTCTTTGGGAGAAAAAACACTTACTGATCTGCTCATATAAAGATTGTTGTTATTATCATGTGTTAAGTACAACTTACAGCGACCCTCTGAACAACAGATCTGACTGCTGTCCTATCCTGTGCCATCCTCATCATATCTGACACACTTGAGCCCATTGCTGCAGTCGTGATGTCAATCCGTCTGGCTCAGCATCTTCCACTTTGACTGACCCTCCCTGACTTCTCTTTCCAAGGGACATCCTCTCCTAAGCTTACGCCTGAAGTGTGTGAGACAAAGCATCACCATCTGTACCTCTAACAAGTCCTCTGGAAATCTTATGGGACAGTTCTACACTGTCATGCAAGGGTGACTTGGAATCAACTTGATGGCACACAATAGAATAAAAACACTCTGTTATTTTCATTCAATGGGCTTTTACAAGGAGGAGGCAGAGAACTCCATGCTGTCTGTAAGGTCTTGTGTCCTGACTGGCAATGGTCAGACTTCTGGGCACTTCTCTGTTGAGGGTCTTGGTCTCGTGGGCCAAATAGCTGAGCCCTTCTCTAGTCTCTGATGACATATAGGGAGTTGTCCTTAGATTTGGAAAGACGGATAACAAAAATGTTCTGAGCAGCTTAGGGAGTGGTTTTAGGGGTGGGGATAGGTAACGGGTGACTCATGGTAGCAAGGAAGGGTGGAGGCGAAGGGTCTTCCTGGTGTGACTCCACCTGTCTTTTGGTTACAGGCACTGATTTTGGTGGTGGTGCTGGGCTGGGTGTTTGTGCCCATATACATCAAGGCTGGGGTAAGTAGTTGCTCTGTTAGTCCTTTTCCTGCTGGCCAATACACTATGTGGGTTTGGTCTTGCTGGAAGGATAATTGGCAGAAAGCTCATGCCTGGACTTTTGGCTCATAAGATGTGAAGTTCCTACCTCTCCATGAGTACATTAGACAGGTCCACTCGGCCTGTTAGTGACTGATCTTTCAGTTGAGGCTCATGGCTCGTCCTTCTAGGAAACCCCTGAGTAATCACTCTCTCTCTCTCCAGAGTATACTCTGAACCATCGCGTCCCCTCACTCGTGGTGTGTCTGCCATGCACTTATCTTTTTTTTTTCTATAATTATATTTTATTAATTTTCATAAACATTTACAGAGATTTTGGGCTTCCACTCATTCATTGTTGCACTATTCTCTCTACCCTCCTCCCAGGGTGTTCTTGTCCAAATGCCACAGTGCTTGTCAAAGCCAGTTCTGATTAATCTTCTTTGTCAGTGTGTCCTTTGCCATTCCCTATCACTCCTCCCTGAGAGAGACTTCACCCTGAGTCATAAGGAAAAGGGGACGGCGTATTCTCTTAGCTACTTCCTGCTGAAAAGGGACGCTGTGGGTTTCAGGGTGAAGATCTTCTCTCACTACTCTAACATGCACTTATCTTTGATGTACTGCTGTCTGATTGATTTGCCCCTCTGTTGATACACACAAGCCATCCTGTTTTGCTAATTCCTCCCCTGGTGCCCAACAACTGTGTGCCTGCTTGGTCTCCTGGTCAACGCTCCCTTTTGACATAGGACAGCTTCTGTCTTGGGCGTTCCATGAGATGAAGAAAGCACCTGCTAGGTGCAAGCCTATGTGCTAGATAAGAAAAACGATAAACAAGAAGCACAGGGCTGGCCCTGCATCTTCAAGACACTCCCAGACTACTGGTGACAGCTGTCTGATCTGGGAAGCAGTGGGCATGGGGTTGATGGAGCAAGATAGAGAGTGTGGGTGAGATTTGCAGACAGGAAGAGAGAGGACAGTTGAGCAGGTTTGTGCCCTAAACTTTGATTCCATCTTCCTATAGTGAGTAGGGCATGTACATCCAGCCTGGTAGCATATACAGTGCCCTGGAAAGATGCCACCTCTCTTGGCTGATGTGGTCTTGTTTGCAGCTGGTGTATTTGCCATGTGTATTTTGGAATGTGGATTTGCCATTTTCTCCTCATTCAGGATGAGGATACACCGTCTTTTTATTGCTGCCCATGCATTCATGTGGTTATTGGGCACCTCTACGGGCTGAGATGATACAGCTTATTGGCCATGCAGGGCGTGTGGGACTGAGATAAGCCAAAGGCTGGAGGACTGGAGCCATCGGGCAACGTCAGTGGCTTCCTGGTCAATGAGGGCTATGAGTGTCGGCCACACTAGGTTGTGTGGCTATGGCACTGAGTGGATGCTATGGCCCTGCTTGCTGTGGGCCCCTCTGGCAGTGACAATTCTTGCATCCCGTGCAGGTGGTGACAATGCCCGAGTACCTACGGAAGCGGTTTGGAGGCAAGCGGATCCAGATCTACCTCTCCATCCTGTCCTTGCTCCTCTACATCTTCACCAAGATCTCGGTGAGTTGGCCCAGCCCTGGCTGCCTCAGAATCTGTGGGGTCTCAATTCCCAGCACAGCCCACCAGCACAGCCCACTGAGACACAGCCCTTTTGGTGTCCATAGCCCAATGCCTTAGGCCTTCTGCTCCTAGGGCAAAGGTGATTCCGCACATCAAGGAGCCAACACACAGCACTCCTCTTCCACAAGGTGCAGCTGACAACATGGATGGATTCATAAGGCACAGTGAGAGCTGTCCTCAGTAGAAGATTAAAAAGCGCTTAGCGGTGCCAAAGGGCTGACTCCAGCATCAGAGGTAGTCATGGACCTTGTGCCCCTCAGCGTTGGATCTGATGGCATTTGTCATGTCTGTTGTGCTTAAGCATGAGAACTCCGTGCCAACTGTTGAAGGGCCCACCTTCAGAGATTGTCTGGTGGAGCCCCACTCTCTTGTTTTGGGAATGGGAAACAGAATTCCTGCGAACAGATGGCACTCGCTCAGAATCCCAACTTAGAGGTGCTACTTAGACCTGGTCCTGGCTCACTGTCTTTTTCATGGCACAGAGCACCTTGGGTTCACTAGCAATCAGCTCCCTGGATCTTTAGTCCTGAGCTCTCTTAGAGACTTTTCTTAGCTTTGAACTCATTCACTGTTGTTAGACACCATTGAGTTGGCTTTAACTAACCTGATGTACAAAAAGGCAAAACATTGCCCAGTACCACACTATCTTCATGATCACTGCTTTGTTCTAATCTACCACTGTGGCTGCTGTATATTTTGCATATATTCCATTCAATCTAGGGGACAGTGTTCTGTTGTGATCACTGGCTGACTTTTGGGAGATCATGAGGCCCTTCATCCTAGTGTCTCATACATTTGAAAGGAACCATTTGTTCTCAGTCTGGAAGTGCCACCAAAACCTGTGTCTTGTGGGCACCCACCCCTGCTGGTGTTAGAAATACTGGTAGCATAGCTCCCAGGGGCACAGCAATGTACAAGCCACCACAGTTTGATAAACTAACCTTTACTGCTGCCTTGACCATTTAACCTGCCCTTTCTACCAGCCTGCAGCTAAAGACTCCAGTTTGCAGAGCTGGCTCTCTCAGGGGTTGGCTGGTTATTAGGATGCATTTTAGAGATGGACAGAGCTCTTGGATAACCTACTGAAACAAGTCTCTTTAACTTCACTGTTCTTTTCTTGAAAATATACAAGATCCATTCCCCTTGGCAGACAAAACCAAATCAATCCAAAACAGCCCCAAAAATTCCTGCAAACCACTGAAATTATGAGACATTTCTCTAATAGCCCAAAAGACAATTGAAGTAAAATGTTTCGCTAGTAGATATTTTTGTAAAAAGTTTATTTTATACTGGTTTATTTACGAAGTCTGTGTACATTGTTTTTCACACCAGATATTTCCCATTGCATTTATCCCCCCACCCATCAAATTGTGTGACCCCATGATTAAACACCCTCCCCCACCCCGCCTTTCTGCTTCACCCTATTCCCCTTGGATCCTCATACCCGTTCTACAATAATGGTTTTATACAGCATTTTCCTTAGGGGACTGAGTTAGTTCACTTTTGCTAGTAGATTTTGTTTCTGTTTTTCTGTCTCCAAGGTGATTGTCCTTTTGATAAAGGTAAAGCAAAGGTGAAAAAGGAAAGGAGAGAAAAGAAAATGTGATTAATAAGGAGTTCAAGAAAGAAAGTAGGACCTTGGTATGAAAATGACCTGGGGAAACTATTGGAGAAGCATAGGCTGCGGAGGAACTCTTAGCTGTTGGTCCACCACACTGCTCATCAGCAGATGACCGGGGCATATGGTCTTAGCGCTGCTCATGGCTAGGATGGAAACAGGGATTCCTTGTTGCTCACATACTTGTGATGGTGAATGTTGAGTGAATTTATTCTGAAGATATAAAATGTGAGAATATAATGTGCGATGGACAACAGATATTTTATCTGTCTATCTATCTATCTATCTATCTATCTATCTATCTATCTATCTATCTATCATCTATTATATATCTATCATCTATTATCTATCATCTATCTATCTATCTATCTATCTATCTATATCTATCTATCATCTAATCTGTATCATCTATCTCTGTCGCTATCTTGATCTCTATCATCTCTATCTATCTAAGCAGGAGTGGCATCAAGTCCCTAAACAACATGCCTCTGAAAATTCTATGAACTTTGAGAAACAATGATAGTTATAGAAAGGCTTCAGGTCTTTTGTTCATAGGGTTGCTATGAGTCATGCTCGACTCGACGACAATTTATAACAACAAATATATGATGAGGATGATGAACATTGTGCATTGAGGATACCCAATGCTCCTGGCTGACAAGCTCTCTGGATTGTGGTAGATTAGAGAGTGAAGTGAGGTCACAGAGAGAGATATAGTAATTATAATGCCTCACTGCTCTCTCTGAAGGGTCGTGTCGTTGACTACGGCCAGCATTCCTGCCTTTTCTTGTCCTCTCCAGCCAACAGTTTGCTATTTGCTGCTGTTGCTAAGTGCCTTTGAAGATGCTTTTAGTTGAGATGGGACCAGTCTCGGCATCTTGCTAAGAGCTGCCCTGACTGACACCTGAATTGGGTTGATCTGAACGAAGCCTTCTACCCTAGCTGGCAGGGGGTAGGTGGTTAGAAGGGTGGGATATGAAGCCTTTTCTCTCCCTGCTCATTTAAAGTTGAGATAACACCAGTGTTAAATAGCATTTGCAATTTTTTCAATGGTGAAAAAATATCTCAAACATAAGCTGAAGGGGAATAGCACCAAAAGTGCTTGTAGATCTAATATTTATGACTCTGGTTTGATAATTTTGAACATTTTGCCATTCTTCATCTAATCCTCCCCCACCCTTTTGCAATATCTTAAATCATGTTCCAAATATAGTTTATCTGTAAATTTTCAGAATCTGTCTCGAACCTTAAAAAAACCCATAATCATTGAGCTATTGCCACTCCTAGGGGAGCTCTGGGGGCCGACTGGTAAGAAACTGTACTGTAATTCTGAAGGTATGTGGTTCAAACCCACCAGCTGCTCCCTAGGAGAATGATGGACAATCTTCTTCTGTGTGATTAACTGCCTCTGAAAACCCATTGGAGGGTCAGCTCTGGGTCAGTTGGTTCTGACTCTACGGCAAGCAACAAAAACAATGAAATTTATAGTAAGTTCTTGATTGTGAGTAATACCTGATCTGTACCCACATTTTCTTGCTTATCTAAGCAAGCAAAAAAATCTTGTTGCAATGGGTTTTTAAAAATCAGGATCCAGGTGAGCTCTGGTGGCCTAGTGGAAGGAAACTGCACTGCAATCCCAGAGGTGGGTGGTTCAAATCCACCAGATGCTCTGCTGAAGAAGGAGGAACAATCGCCTCCTGTACCAGTCAGATCCAATTTGACGGTACACACACACACAAAGAATAAATAAATAAAAATGATCTTTAAAAAAATCAGGATCCAAATGTGATATACCTACCACATTTGGTTGTTTTTTTCTTTAAAGGACACACATTGTCTAAATCTTCAGCCTGTCCCAATGATACTTATCTTTCATTCTGCACCTATGTACATATTTGATTTTGATTGAGTTGTTTGTCTTTTTTAAGATTTAGTGGTAAGTTGTATATACTCTGGAAACGAAATGTTTATTAGGGAGTTGACTTGCAAGTATTTTCTCCTATTCTCGTATTTTTGCACATTCTTGATAGTGTTCTTTGATGTATAAATGTTTTCCATTGCTTTTCGAATAATCTCTTTTTCCTTTAATGCTGGTGCATTGGATATTACTTCTAAGCATCTACTGCCAAATCTAAGGTCCTTGAGACTTAGGTTTTCTTTTAAGAGTTTTATAGTTTTATCTCATATAGTTTAGTCTTACAGTTTTCTAGCTCTCAAGTTAGCTTTTTAATATGTTTGAGGCGCTATTTTTATGTACCGTCGAGTTGGAACTGTCTCATAGCTGACCCGCAGGGGGTTTTCAAAGGCAGTAAATTGCATAGGAGGAGATTGCTCATCTGTTTCCCGCAGAAGATTTGAAGTTGACAGCATATTTGAAGTTTTTGAGTTGGCAGCACAATTACTTACCACTAAGCTACCAGAGCTCCCTATGTTTGAGATGGGGGTCTAAATTCATTCTTCTGCATAGGAACCCTCAATTGCTCTAGCAATTTGTGGTGAAAAGCATTCTTCTTCTTTTTCTAAAAAAATTATTTGTGTTAACTTCATATCACCTTTTGTTCAATAATGTTAATTGCAATGCACTCAATGTAATGGCACTTTTCCCACTTCCTCCCTATAATTCTGATTTCCTTTAGTCCTCCTATTCCTCTCTGTGTTCTAGTTTTCTTTAGGAATATTTACAGATCATCCCTGAAAAATCTATTCTATCCCATTGAATGTTGTTGTTCTGTACCTTTGAGTCAGAACAGACCCTCCAGTGGGTTTGTAGAGACAGTAAACCACATAGGAGGAAAGTTCTCATCTTTCTTCCATGGAGCAGCTGGTGAATTTGAACCGAGTGGGTTTGGCATTGCAGCCCAGCTTCTTACCAGGGCACCATATCCCATTGAGTAGTCATGCATATATGTTTTTACATAGCTCGATGAAAACATTCTCTTATTAATAGGACCAGTAAGGCTTTGTTTGGCAGTTGAGACTTGCTGTTTTTGTTATTGTTGTTATGTGCTATCAAGTTGCCTGTGACTCATAACAACCTTATGTGGAAGCCTGAAGCCTGCCCTGTCCTGATCCAGACTCACTGACTCTGACACACCTACCCCCATTGTCCTAGTTTACTGTGTCAATCCATCCGTCCGGGATCTTCCTCTCCTGCGCTGTCCCTCTACCCTTCCGAGCATGATGTCCTTCTCCAAGGGCCTGTCCCTGCTGGCCACATGTCCAAAGTATGTGAGACGGAGCTTCAAAATCCTAGCCTCCAAGAACAAACTTGGTTTCACCCTCTCCAAGACAGACCTATTTGTTTCCTTGGCGGTCCATGGTA